CCAGCTCGTCGAAGAACTCGTCGAGCACGCCCTGCGTCGGGCCCAGGGCAAGAGGATCGCCCGCGTTGACAACGACCCTGATGCCCTTCTCCCTGCTGAGGTAGATGGCGGGCTCGGCCTTGCACGCCTCGAAGCCAAGGCCAAACGCGATGCGCTCCTGGAGCTCCTGAAACCTGAGCGCCGCCTCCCTGAACCCGTAGACAGACTTCTTCAGCCTCCACGCGAGGCCGTAACCCATGCCGTACTCAGGCGGCATCTCCACGTAGATCTCGGCGTCCTCCTTCAGTGGCGCGCGCGCGAAAGCCGCGCTGAAATCCGTCGTCGCGATGATGCGCTCGAGCATCAGCGCCGCCGCAATCAGCGCTCGCGCGGCCTCCGCGCGGGGGGTGCAGGCGAAGAAGTCGCCTGCCTGCGCGTCCTTAAACTGCCCCACGACGAACCTGGTCCTGACGCCGTCGCCCTTCTCGCGGCGACGCCATCGCGTGCCCCGAACCTTCTTGCCGTGAGGGCGCTCGACCACCTCGCCAATGTCGAGCGACTCCATGATTTGGGCGCCCGAAATGGACACGGAAAAACGGGTACAATGCCCAGCAACAAATGTTGTCCCAAACCAACATCGGCCGATGTTGGGCAGGCGGCCTTCTGTCTCGAATGGACACAGGCCGCGGCGGCGTGGACAGCGAGTCCTGTTCAAAATGAACAGGATCCGCTGTTGGGCATGTCCCCATTCTTCCCGTACCCATCCCGTTCGTGCAGACATGCACTTCGCCTCTCGAATGATGCCCTCGCGGACCTGGCCCATGTCGAGCTGCTCGCCGTCGTCGTCGTCGTAGTAGGCCTCGTTCAGCAGCTCGATGTTCGGGTCGAGCTCGCACGGGGCGCAGAGCACGGTGCCCTCGGGGTAGCCCATAACGTTGGCGACCATCACGTTGCCAACCTTCACCGCCTGGACCTTCCTCTCCTTCTCGCGCGCCTCGCCTTCCGCAGGCGCCTCGCTGGCCCGCTTGCCAGTGGCGCTATCATCTTCCTCGACTGCCGCGCGCTTCGAATCTGGCGCAGACGAACTCTCGCCAGCAGCCCGCTTGCTGCGTGGATCTCGGGGGGTCAGTCCCCTCCGCTGGAGGCAGCGGCGCGGGCGTCGGCATGGCGCGCCCAGGCATGCGCAGCAGCTTGGCGCGAGCTCCATGGACATCGGGCCCGTCTGCACTCGCGTAGGTGGCCGTCCTCTCGGCCTCTTGGTGGCAGGCTGGGCATTGTCGTCCTCCACGCCGTCGTAGCGCATCTCCTCATCGCGTGCGCCCTCGTCGGCGGCTGGCGCAGCGCCAGCTGCCGATTCTTCTCTCCTCGCCTCGGGCTTGGCTTGCCGAGGCCGGTCGGCCTGCCCTTCCTGCGCCGCGGCGCCCTCAGGCCAGGGGGGCCCGGTGGGCCGCGGCTGGTTCAAGCCCAGTGCCTCGGCGACCCTGTCGACCGCCCGCGCCGACGCACCGGTCGCCTAGAGGGGCGCCTTTCATCGCGAGAAGCAGCCGTTTGTCGCACCGCTCGCTCTCCTCCAGCCGCCGGACCGATCTCGCGAGGATGATGCCGCGTCGCGCGCCGCAGGTGCGTTGGTCGTCCTCCAGCGAGCGCCTCAGGTAGAATGCCGCAGCCCCAAGCGGTCTCGAACTTCGCGGCGATGGGCCCAGGCTGCCTCCACATGACCGCAACGCCCAGTGGTAGGACCTTCTTGTCGTAGTGCCGGTCGTGCTGGCGCTCAAACGAGGTCTTGTAGTCGGAGCGGTGAACGAGGAACCGATCGTGCGTCCAGGCGGCGCGTCGCACGATCCAGGCCATGATGGGATGCCGCAGCTCGATCACGATCCCGTACTTCGTTCCGATGGCCATCCTCCAAAAAATCGTCCTGCCCTCGATGAAAAAGTGGAACCGCTCCACCGTGCCGTTGCCGCCCTTGCTCGCCTTGGGAGTGAACCTGATACTCGCGTCCAGGTCAATCGCCACCTTCGCCGCTACGTCCATTTGCTGCGTTCTCGGGGTCACACTGGACGGTGACCCCTTCGAACCCGAGCCTCTGCGCGTGCCGCCTCAGACTCTTTATCGCGAACAAATATCCACCCCCTTTCGCCTCGAGCATATCGGCGCGGTGGCGCGATGCGCATTCTCGACCGCGTTCGCGACTGGGTGCACCTTCTCGCCATGGCGCGTCTTGCCGCACATAATCTACATGGGCCACGGGAACGCCCTCGATCTCTCTGATCCTCTCGCGTTTGTCGCCCAGGCCACGTCCCGCGACGCAGTCCGTGCGCCGCGCTGCGCGCGGGCAATGGGCAGCTCCGCGAGCGTCTTTCTCCGCCTTCGTAGGCTCGCTTGGGGCCGCCATCACCGATGCCTCAGGTCGCGCCGTCGGATCCGCTGGTTCGTCCACCTGCGCCGCGACGTGCTTGTCCGGGTTCTCCGTGGCCGTGTAGTCGATGACGGTCCGCCCGCGCCGAGCCTCGTCTGGGCGCGGCTGAGGACGGTCGCGCGCAGGAAGAACAGCCCGAACATCCTCTTGAGCCCTAGCCGCGATCGCCCCCGCCTCGAACCCCGCGCGGTCGAGGGCGGGCCCGTCAAACCCGGCGGAAGGAAGTCTACCCCAGCACATGCCTTGCTGACGCCGTTGACACTGAGGCTCGGCCCTGTGGCTTCAGCGACGTGAGAACTCACTTTGATGTCCTCGTCATTCTCGGTCCTGAGGTTCACCTGCTTGTCTTCGAAGTGCTGCGCGCCACTCGCGACCTAGATCTCCAGCGTGCGATCCTGAATGATCGGGTAGTAGGGACAGACCCTGGGCCCGCGCGCCGACTTTTTGGCGCCTGTGTCCGCCGTGATGTCGACGGTCTCTCCAGCGCGCGCCCCGACCGGGCCCTCGACGCCGCCGACGGCGAACGCCCAGGCCTCTTCCTCACACTCACGACACGCGACGGCACCTGCATTCACCTTCGACTCGTCCTGCTGGCCGCTGGCCGCCGCGTCGCCGTTGTCCTTTGTAATGCCGGCGGTATCCCAGGTCGCGCTCCAGCTCCGACTCTCGCTCCGGCTGTTGTTCTCCCATCCGTCGATGTTGTCTCTGGCGCAGCCATCCAGCTGGCGATGCCCCCACTTCCGCATCGGCCGCAGCGCCCGTTGAACTTCTTCCCGTCGTGATTGCCATCCGTCTTGGAGTTGCCCATGCCTTTGCCTGCGCCCCTACCAGCGCCCTTGCTCTTGCCGCCCTTGCCCATGCCGCCTTTCCACCACGTCTTGGAGATGATGGCGCCCGCGTCCATCGGCGTCGGGCCCCCCGGCATGGACTGCTTCACGAGCAAGATGTCGCCAGCGACCTTCATCGCGCGAGGCCACTGGATCTCCTTCTTCGGCATGGTTCCTGAGCGCCTCGGGAACGCGTGCGATCAGGACAGCCGTGCGGATGTTGTCGCTGAGCTGTTGCTTGGAGAGCTTCTCGTGCTCGTCGATGAGGATCTCAAACTTCGCGACGTTGTCGAGAAGCTCTGCCTCGCTGCCGAAATCGAACTCCAGCGCCTTCAGTCTCGTGAGACTGCCCCCCATGTTCTGCGGGTCGCACTGGAAGCTCAGCCGTCGGTATGCCTCGAATCCGTCTTAGTTGCTCACCTTCCTTATGATGCCAAGCGGGTGCCATCTGTATACGTCGTCAGCTGGTGGAAGATCGACTGGGCCACCTGTCTCCGCTTCTCGTCATAGTTCGCATAGCTCAGCTCATTCTGGCTAAACTTGACCTGCGCCATCCCCTTTCCAAGCACTTCCTACTCTGGTTCCCAACGAAACCCTTGAATTTGAAGTTCCAGTCGTGGAAGTATGGTTTCCTGCTGTTGTCGAACGTCGACGGCTTTCCTTTGTATCCGATCATCGCGGCCGTGAGCTGTCTGCCCGAAGGCGCCGCCGCAGCCCTCTCCGGACCCTCGGCTTTGAGCTCCTCGATCGTAGCGTTCTGTGGTTCCATGAAACCGAGCAGCCGTCCGAGCTCCCGCTTCGCATTCCGAAGCTCCGCCGCGAGCGCCTCCACGCTCACCGCGGCCTGCCGTGCATCTGGGGGTCTTCACCCGCGCTCCGCTGCCATCTTGACAGCAATTGTCTGATCATGAATCGTCCTGCACTCTCTGACCCTCGTGTCAAAAAGGCTATAGTCAGTCACGTCATAAATCCATTCACTCAGCAACGCTTTCTGTGACGTGCATGCACAGCAAAAGGGCCTCGGGGCTCCAGGGGCACGAAGGGGGCCTTCAGGGGCGTCGTATACCGACACATCGGCCCTGTGCAGCAACGCCTGACGCAACTCGGCCACGTGACGAAAAACCGGATGCACCACTCGTTTCTGGCAGCTTCCTAAAGCTGCGTGCTGCTAGCTAGCACTTTGTTCCGTACGCTCTCAGCGCATGCAACCCACACTTAGTGTTTGGATCCAGCCATGATGCCGTCCCACGCCCACTGCCCTGGTACCCCAGGCTGCGAGGGAAAAACTGTCAACATGGGCGAGCGGACTGTCGGACGAGGAAAGAGAGGAAGATGGGGAGACGGTCGGGAAACACTTCCGGAGGTCCGCGCGGGTCCCTTGGGTCGGGCGCTGGAACCCCCACTAGATCGGGGGGGTGGGGGGCAACGCTCGGGGAGGACTAACTCAGGGGGGGAGGACCAGCTCAGGGGGAATGACTAGCTCAGGGGGGACGGGGGGAACGCTGGGGGAGGTCTAGCTCGGGGGGGGGGGACATCGACTGGAAACTGTCGATGATGATGAGGAAGAGGAGGAAAAGGAGGAGGAAGGGGAGGAGGAGGAGGAGGAGGAAAAGGAGGAGGAAGGGGAGGAGGAGGAGGAGGAGGAAAAGGAGGAGGAGGAGGAAAGTAGGAGGAGAAGGAGGAAGGGGGGAGAAGAAGAGGGGTCGAGGCAGGCGAGGCGAGAAGGGGGGGGGAGGCCCCCTGGCCAGGCCCGAAGTGGCTGCCGAGGCCGCCGCCGCCTGCCCGCGCGAGATGCGCGCGTGCACAAACGCCAGCGCCTCGGAGCCGCCGCGGCCGCGCCGCGCCGCGCCTGTCTCCCCCCTCTCTGGCCCCCGCCTGAGCCGCCTCAGAGGGACATGTCCCATCTAGCCCTCGCCTGGGCTGCCGGACAGGCCTCGTCCTTTATCCTTCTGCTCCTGCTCGTTCCTCCTCCTTCATCCCACCTCCCTCATCCTCCCTCCTTCATCCCATCTCCCAGCCGCGCCGCGCCGCGCCGGAGCCCCTCGGGAGCGGGGAAGGACCCACCCAGGAGGGCTCTCGAGGCTGAACCTCGTCGCCCACCAATCGTGCATGCGCCGACAGAGGTTAGGGATCCGCGGATCTGGCGCGTGGGCGCCAGATCCACGGATCGGGGAAGGTACCCCCCAAACAGGAAGCCAATGCAACCTCATTTGGCGACGGAGTGCTCCGGTTCTGTACGGAAACAGCACCCATCGCTGATCCACGCGCCTTAACCCATGCTTGTGCTTCCTCGAACCAAGGAGGGCTCTCAAAGCCGATCCTCGTGGCCCAAGGGAGGCTTGGGGCAGGCTTCATCCTGCCGCAGTGGGGCGACTGAAACTGAATACACTATTGTTCGCGATACTTTTCCGAAGGAAACGAGGGGTCTGCGCTGGAGAAGCGCTTAGAAAATCGGTCAAGAGGGTGGGATGCGGCCGCGGATGAGGCGGGGGGGAGAAGGGGGGGAGGGGGAGGACAAACATGCCCCCATTAGGGAGGGAAGGGGTTCCCATGAAGAAACCTATTGGGGCGTCTCGGGGGGCCCTTGGGTAGCATTGAGGACATCTTGGGCCGTCTTGGAGCAATTATGGTCCGTCTTGGGCCATCTGAAGGCCATCTTGGCCTTCTCGGAGGTCGTCTGGGCCGCCCGGGGGGGAAAGAGACCCAATGAAGGGAGGAAGGGAGGGAGGGCGAGTTCCGCGGAGGCCCCACCTTCAAACAGCAAGGGAACCACTGGCGCTTTTTAATCGTTAGCAATATCATCACATATTGAGATATCGACTGCGCAGCACAAAGAGCAGACAGTAACAAATGGATGAACCTGCAAGACCGTCCCCACACCACTCAGCCAGCGGGGCTGTGCAAACTGGTCTCCGCAGAGAACATTCAGCAAAATGTGCTGTGCCTGCCAATTGAAATTGGAAAGCCCGTCCTCGGGAATGAACGCTTCGATGGGCTCGCGGCCGACATCCTGAGGAAGGATGATGAGACTCTCTACGAATACAGATCGCCAGGAATGGCAAGCGCCATGTATAGTGCAGAAGTGGGTCGCGTATGACATTTGGGAAACAGGAGGAACCAGAACAGTGCGAGGAACAATGTCCGAGGCAACCATCAGCGCGTCAAAATGTTGTTGCAATGCCGACTTAAGAACGTCCGAAGACGCCACGTACGCGTCTGTCGGAGATAATGAATCCCACCCCCTTTCAGATCTCAAGACAAACGCCTTTTTAGGTTCGTGCTGATCCCCCCATTTGCTATATGGAGACCCCGGACTGGGGCAGAGGTGGGCCACCAAGCCCCAGGGCCAAGTTCCCTTTCATACCTTCGCTCTCCAACACTATCGCCTCTTTCCCTCGTCTTTTCCATTTCTCGTTCTCTCGTTGCCTCTCTCTCTCTCTCTCTATATATATATATACACCTCTCTCTCCCCCTCTCTGTCTCTCCCTCTCAATTTCTCTCTCTCTCTCTCTATTTTTATGTGTCTCTTGTCCGTCTTCCTATACACGTATACGCATACATCTAGGTACATGAATATACCACGCCTCGGTCTCTGTCTCTCTACATATATATATATATGTTTCTCTCTCTCTCTCTCTCTCCCTCTCGTTCGCTATGTCACTCTTGTTCCACATCCTTTTCTCAATCAACGATCCCCTACATATCCCTCAATCTGCTTATGCTACTAATCTACATATACAATTGTATCGTCTTGAACCTCTCTAAAAAGTGTATTAATCCGCCGGCCCCCTTGTGGGGCCACCAGGCTGTAGGCGCGGGTTCGCAGTTTCCTGTACCAGTTGTAGCTTGTAGTTTCCAGTGTTACAGTTCTGCTTCTTGCTGGTTACTGTAACTAGTTGACTTCTTGCTGGTTACTGTAACTAGTTGATTGACCGCGCGAGGGGGGGGGAGGCCCAAACAAGACTTTTAGCGTCCCCTGGGCGCGTTGTCTGAATTGCTGGGGGGGCTCGAAATCGACACCCCTCACGCAGATCCGCGGGGTCAGGGTCCAAAAACACATGGGATTTGCCACATTTCTGAAATTCGGTGCCACCCCTCACGCAGATCCGCGGGGTCAGGGTCCAAAAACACAGGGGATTTGCCACATTTCTGAAATTCGGTGCCACCCCTCACGCAGATCCGCGGGGTCAGGGTCCAAAAACACAGGGGATTTGCCACATTTCTGAAATTCGGTGCCACCCCTCACGCAGATCCGCGGGGTCAGGGTCCAAAAACACATGGGATTTGCCACATTTCTGAAATTCGGTGCCACCCCTCACGCAGATCCGCGGGGTCAGGGTCCAAAAACACAGGGGATTTGCCACATTTCTGAAATTCGGTGCCACCCCTCACGCAGATCCGCGGGGTCAGGGTCCAAAAACACAGGGGATTTGCCACATTTCTGAAATTCGGTGCCACCCCTCACGCAGATCCGCGGGGTCAGGGTCCAAAAACACATGGGATTTGCCACATTTCTGAAATTCGGTGCCACCCCTCACGCAGATCCGCGGGGTCAGGGTCCAAAAACACATGGGATTTGCCACATTTCTGAAATTCGGTGCCACCCCTCACGCACATCCATCGCAAGGCGTGGTAACCCAAACTGCGAGTACTCCCTCGGCCCTTTAATCCCAAGGTGTGGTAACCAAGCTCGTAAACCATACACGTCTTACCAATCGCCCTGTGTGGTAACCCCTCTTGTGATCAGTTGGTTTTGCCGATTGCGAATCGGCCTCGCATGAAGTTCCGATACTGCTGCACGACAGCGCCAAAGCCTCATGACTTAGCTCTTCCATGGCCCATTCTCCGAGAGAGGGGGCCGGCGGCAGGGGGCGAAGCCCTTACGGATAACAATCATCGCCGCCCTTTCCGCCATCACCCTCGTCCCACTCCTTTCTCATCTTCCCATTCCCGTCGCCCCCGTCCTTACCTGACCAAACACACCGTAACATGGACTACAAATCCGTGGATTTGGCACACGGGCGCCGGGGGAACGCAACCCCTCCAAAACATACGCTCCATTCCGCCTGATTGTGCGACGGTGCGCGCCGAATCGTACTGAAATGGGACCCGTCGCCAGCCCACGCGATTCCATGGGGGGCATCTGATGAATGACATCTTTGGGGGGATGGGCGATTCAAAACATGGTTTCGCCGGCCTGGACTCCCTCGAAATAGCGAGCAAGGGGTCTCGGCCCACGGAGTGGCGACAACTCGAGCTGGCCCCCCAAGTGACTGGAAAGCCAAAAAGACGGGATCTTAAGGGCGCGCGGCGCGCCCCCCCACCCCTCCCGGCCATGCGGCCATATCCCTGCCAGGACGCAGCGAGCACGTCGTCGCGCGGCGCGTGCAGCCCTATAATGGCGAAGTCGCTGCCCGCGCGCCGAGGGGGGCGCGGCGCGCGCTGCGCCGCCCACTTGCTATGCGGTCCTATGCCTGCTCGGGCGCGGCCCACGCGTCAAAGGGAGCGCGGCGCGCCCCTCCTGTCTACGCGGTCCAGTGCGTCGAGGGGCGCGCGGCGCGCCCCTCCCCCCACTTGCTATGCGGCCCTGTGTTAGCTCAGCCGCGGCCGGCGCGTCGAGGAGCGCGCGGCGCGCCGCCCCGCCCGCGGTGGGGCCCAATGCCTGCCAGGGCGCGGCCCGCGCAGCGAACGGGAGGCGCGCCCCCCCACCTCTGCCGTGCCGCCCTACGGCAGGTTCGTGTCGTGCCGACCCCAGCGTTGGTTTCTGTCACCTCGGGGATCGTTCAACCTTGAACGATCGGCCCATTCCGAGACGTGCGATCCTTCAACATCGACCCATTCTGGGTCGCCGGCGGCGTTCAACCTTGAACGCCCACGCTGGGGTCGCCGCCGGTCGACACGACACGAACCTACCGTATACATGTTTGGGGGCGGCGTCGCGTCGAGGGGCGCGCCGCGCCGCGCCACACCTGCCGCGCGGCCCACGCGTCGAGCGGGGCCCAGGAGCGACCCCCCTCTCCCCCGCCCCCCCGCCTGCCACGCGGCCCATATGCCTGCTGCTCTGCGACATGATTCTCGACGCGACACGTGGAAACATGTGGATTTGAGAGGGGGAACCCGCTCGGACGCCCCTCCATTATGATTAGTACACCCCGCAGAATGAGAATAGATAAACCAAGGGGGGGAGGGCCAACTTTCTGATCGCACGCCTCCACGGATCAACGTTCGCGCTTTTCTGGCCTGGTTCCCCCGCCCTGGCAGCCATGGAAAGGCTCGCCGGTAACCCCCCGCTCACGCGAGGCAATTGTTGGGAGCGCGGGGGGGCGGGAGCGGGCCACCCGCCGGGCCCGCCAGCGTACGGGCATGGCGCCGCGGTCTCGCTTCTGCTGCGCCACCAGGACCGCGAGCTCGTCCAGCAGGTTGGACGAGTTTGCCGTCGACGCGCCCCAAAATCTCGACGGCGCACGGGATGACGGACCTGCCGCCCGCGTCTGGGCACCAGTCCGTCTTGCACTCGACTCCCTCCTTAGCGGCTGCACCTGGCGTCGCGGCAGCCGCCTCAGAATGTGCGCGGCCGCGAGGTTGAGCAACGTGCCGTCGAGAAGGCGTTTTGGGACCGTCGGGTGCCCGAACAACTCCACACCCAGAACGGTTTCTCAAGGACCTCCCTGCCGTCCTGCTGTTTTTTCTTCAGGCGGGGTTGGGGCGCTGCTTGGTCCAGCAGCCCCGAATGCCCTGCGTCGCGGCCCGCATGCGCCTGCTATTCAGTGGGCCGTGCCGCATCGGCATGTATGTGCCCGCACTGCAGCATACAGCGTGGTCACCAAATCTGTCTAGGTTTTGCCGCAACGATCAGACTGATCCTTCGACTTTGCGTGCAATCGCTGCAAGCTGGCAGGATACACTGGCAGGCCGAGCCTGAACTCAACAGCCAAGACAAACTTGGCCACCCTCTCCCGCCATCTCCCGCCCTCCCCCTCTGGCTCTCCCCCTCACTCCCCCTCCCCCTCTGCCGCAGACCTGGACCCCGCCACCAGTGTTGGAACGGGTGGCCACTGGGGAGAGGCGTGTAAGAAGGCCTGCTCCAGGAAAGTCGATCCAACGGACTCGACACCTGGAACCGAAGGTGGTCGGGTTGGTGGCCAAGCTCATGGCGAAGCACAGCTCCCCATAGTTTTTAATGTTTGTTGCTTTGCTTTGTTCTCTCTTTCTCTCTCTCTTTCTCTCTTTGGCGCAAGTTCGTATCGCCAGGGGTTCGCTTCGCCTGTTCCCGTTCGCCAAAGGGTGGTTTCGCCGGGGCTGGCTTCGCCGGGAGCTCGCTTCGCCGGGAGCTCGCTTCGCTGGCGCTTTCGCTGGGGGGTCGCTTCGCAAGGGTCCCGCTGTCATGCTCGTCCACCTGAGCGTGGAGGAGTCGCGCAAAGGCACGGCACCATAGCCGTAAGATCACCGCCGCCAGGGCGGCCGGGGCGGGTCGGGCGGGCGGGCCAAACGGGGTGGGTCGGGCGGGCGGGATGTTGAGGCGTGGGGCGCAATCGAGCAGGACCGTCAATCGGGTGGACGGCTCGGGTCCAGCCGCTGGACCTTCGCGGGCGGGCCCTGACGGGGCGGGCCCTGATTGGGCGGGGCGGGTCTGGCGAGCGGGCAGGCCATCCAAGTGCGCGGCTCAATCGAATAGGATGTTCCATCCATCGAGAATCGAGCGGAGGGGTGGGGCTGGGCGGGGGGGCGAGTCGGGCGGGCCCTGACGGGGCGGGGTGGGGCGGGCGGCCAAACCTTGACGGGCGAGGCGAAGCCGGCAAAGGGAACCGGGCGAAAGGAACCCCAGGCGAGGCGAAGCGAACCCCGGGCGAAACGGACCTACGCTCTCAGTCTCTGTGTCTCTCACTCTTTCCCCCTCCCTTCATCCCTCCACCGCCTTCGTCCTAAAAGTTTGCAACCGTTTCAAGGATGGAGGGCGGGCCTTTTCAAAATGTGGCTGTCGCCTTTTGGCCGCGCACATTCGCTTTAAAAGTTAGCACCAATCTCGAGGATGGAGGCCCTTTCCTTTTCAACATGCGGCTGTCGCCTTGGCGCCGCGCGCAGTTGTCCAACATACTTGCAGCGGTATCAAAGATTCGTTGGTTGAAGTCCCAGGAATGGTGTTGTGGCGCGACCTTGAATTGTCAGAACGCAACAGCCGCCTCAATTCGCAGTGATGACGTCACAGGAACGGCGCTCTGGCACGATGTAGGATTGTCAGCAGCGCTGGCGTCCCAGGCCTTGTCTTCTGGCACGACTGAAGATTCTCGAACGGTTGTCTTGCAGTGGGGCACTTCCCGAAATGAGCATACATTGAGAGAGACCTTGGAAGGCCGGCTACTTGCAACATCTTTGATGTGTCTAGGGGTGACTCCTCCTCCTCCGCCTCATCCTCCGCCTCCTCCTCATTCGAATGTCGCTAAAACTGCGGTTCCTCCTTCCCTTCTCCGTCCACCTCACATCCGCGAAAACAGTCCACCACGAGAAAGCCACGTCCGCGAGCCGCACCCCAGATTCTAGTGACCCATCTGCCACTTTCGCCTCCCCGCCCACGGTCCTCCACGTCCACCCGAAAGTAATCAAGCAGCTGGTCGCTAAAGGTGCTGCTGGGGAACTCGAACTCCCTCATGCAACACACGACGGCGCAGATGCCCTCACGCACCATGCGCTGCACATCAGCCGTGGACTCTAGCCCGCCTGAGCGCGGACATGTTCAAGCGAAGATGGGCGCTGGCTAGGGGAGCAAACGCCGTGCCCCCGAGAGACGCACACGCAAAACGAGTTTCGCATATGCAGAATACTGAACTACCGCTGGGAACGCTAAACAATGCACGATGATGATGAATAAACATGAGGGGGACGACTAAACATGTCTGGCTATTTTTGGCATGATTTGGGGGTTCACATGGTGAAGATAGTTCCGCTTAAAAGAAGCACGTACAGGAACTCAGCAATATGCATCGTTTGGTTTAGCTCCTGATGCTACATATCCCAGTCAACTCCTACTGCAGTTATTATTACCACATGTGCGACTACACTTCCTATTGCCTATCTCAACCAGCTCCAAATACAGCCCCTGGAACAACTCCCACGCAGCTCTTGCCACATATCCTGACAGTACCGCTACAGATCAGCCTGGACTGACAAACTCCAACTACAGCTCCTACGCCAACATCTGGTGCAGACAAAAACAGTTCGTATTCTTACATATGCCGCTCGAATCCCATTTCAACTTGTACTACAACACCTGCTCGATCTTCAACTGCACCTCCTCATTGTCCACATCCTACGATGGCTCATGGTAATTCCAAATCAGATCCACTCGTCGTTGTCATTGCATCCCGCTGCCGTTGGCTCCCCTCCTTTCTCCTTCACCTCGCACCTCATGACCCTCCGCGTCGACTCCGTCTGGCCCGTCGGCCGTCTGGGCGCGCGCCCGAAGAGGGCTGAGGTGGGAACAACTCAAAAAATATTGTCCTGGGCCAGGGCCGGTTTTTCTAATCATCATTCCGGGTGACATGAATGGCCCCCTGTCATACCACGGCACTGGCGTCTGGGCCAAGCCATACCAGAAATCGACGTCCTGCCAACATCTCCCTAGAGCAACCTCATCCCATAATTCACTGTAAAGTATACCAGATTCGCGTCTCCGAGGCTCCCCGAAGCCACGGTCCCTCGTCAATTATTAGTTTTTCGAGTCCCCGAAGTCATACACCCTAGAAAAATACGCCGTGCTCGCGCTTTGAGGCCACAATCGTTCATAAAAAGGCCCCCAGGACGGTACAAGAGGACTCCAAGACGGCCCTAGAGTGCTCCCAGGCGCCCAAGATGGTCCGAAGACGACCCAAGAGGCCCCCTAGAGGCCCCCAAGAGCGCTCCAAGAGCACCCCCAAGGGGCCAACATTTGCGATTTGCCTTAGAATTTTGATGGATGTTGACACGCTCATATCTCCAGTAGTCCCCGTGCGGAGTTCCGACGCTGCTTCACGACGGCGCCCAGGCCTCACAACTTGGCTCTTGCATGCCCCATTCTCCGAGAGAAGGGGCCGGCCGCGGGGGTCGAAGCCCTTACGGATGTGGAGGAAGAGGGGGAAGGGTGCGGGGAGGGGGACAGGGAGGAGGAGGGGAGAAGGAGGGGCACGGGGAGGATAACGAAGAGGCGCGGCAGAACTGTGAACTATGAGGAGCGCGGTCGAGACGGAGGACAGCGACTGAACGGAGAGATGGAGACTGGCAAGAGTGATGGACAGACGCTGCGGTGACGCAATGGATGAGAGAAGCGACGGATGAGACGCGCAGGTGAAAAATGCCACAAGTCCAGGCGCAGGATGAGTCCCGACGCGCACGGATGAGTCGCTCTTCCTCCTCCTCCTCCTCCTCCTCCCCCTCCTCCTCCTCCTCCTCCTTGGCATCAGGTCCGGCTCCGGGAAGGAGCTCGCGACAAAGGTGCAACATATTGTTTCGGCTCCTGCACAAGGAGCTCTCAAGGTGGATCGCGGACCTCCTCGCAGGCGGCGGCCCCGCAGGCGGTGGTAATGTCGCAAGGGAAAAAGACATCTCCGCCGCAGAACGCTGCAAAGAACGCCTGAACAGCTGCAGCGCAGAAGCGAGGTGGGGGGAGGAGAGAGAGAGAGAGAACAAATAACGAGAGAGAGAGAGAGAGCGAGAGAGAAACAACAAAGCGAGAATTGAGAAAGAGCAGAGAACAATATATATATATATATATATATATATATATATATATATCCAAATAACTAAATCACCACATTTTTATATACCGCGTATACCACCCTTCGGGTGATAAGGAGGTGAGGGGGGGGAGGGACCACCGTCGCACTCGATCGATATCACTATCGATCTCATTATCGATCTCATTATCGATCGCATTATCGATCTCACAGTCGATATGGCTATCGATCTCACAATCGATCTCACAATCGATCTCACATTCGGTCTCACTATCGATCTCACTATCGACACCACAACCGATCTCACAATCGATCGCACATTCGGTCTCACTATCGATATCACTATCGATATCAATATCGATCACATTCGATCGATCTCACAATCGATCTCATTATCGATCTCACTATCGATCTCACATTCGGTCTCAATATCGATCTTACTATCGATATCACAATCGATCTCACAATTAATCTGACTATCGATCTCACTATCGAACTCACTATCGAAGTCATTATCGATCTCTCGTTCGGTCTCACTATCGATCTCATTATCGATATCACAATCAATCTCACAATCGATCTCACATTCGGTCTCACTATCGATCTCACTATCGAACGCATTATCGATCTCATTATCCATCTCACAATCGGTCTAACTATCGATATCACTATCGATATCACAATCGATAGTGAGATCATCATCGTCATCACCTCTCACCATCATCATCACCATCATCATCTCCATTATCATATCTCAGCATCACCATCATCATCATCATCATCATCATCATCATCATCATCATCATCATCATCAGTGTCGTCATCATAATCACAAACATCAACACAATGAAGGCCATCATCACCATCAGCATCGCACAATCGATCTCACATTCGGTCTCACTACCGAGATCACAATCGATCTCGCAATCGACGTCATCATCATCATCATCATCATAATCATCATCATCATCATCAACATCATCATCAACATCAACATCAACATCAACATCAACATCAACATCAACATCATCATCATCATCATCATCATCATCATCATCATCAACATCATCATCATCATCATCATCGCCATCATCAACATCATCATTATCACCATCATCATCATCACCATCATCATCAGAATCATCATCATAATCATCATCAACATCATCATCGGGACACCGACGGGACACGGACGGGACACCAGCGGGACACCGGCGGGACACCGCGGGGCCCCGGCCGCCCGGAAGGGAATCATTTGGTCCGGCCGCGCCTCAGCCACACGGGACACCAGCGGGACACCGGCGTGACACCGCGGGGCCCCGGCCGCCCGGAAGGGAATCATTTGGTCTGGCCGCGCCTCAGCCACACGAGACTTTTTCTCGCCCGCCCACGCAGCTTCGCCTCGCCCGCACGCACGGCACGCACGAGCACGAAACCGAAATCGATTTCCCGGTAGGGGGGCTCTCCGTTCCACTTCGATCTCACCCCCTCACCTCCGATATATATATATATATATATATATATATATATATATATATATATGTATATGGAGAGATAGAGTGGATAATGTCAATGTTTGCCAGCGCGTGCCCCAAACAATTGGCTACCACACTCTCGACGTGCATTCCTGTGCGGAGCAAGCTGGGTTGTGCAACCTACGTGGTGCCAATGTTGCCAGATATGTTGTGCATCACGTGTGGCGCATAAGCGCCACGGGAGCAACGTATGCATTGTAAACTATTGGACGGAGGCGCGTGCAGCCGGAATGCAGAAGGGGCCAGCCTGCTCAGAAGGCTAACAAGGCCTCTGGCCTTCTGACAAAAATGCTGAGCCGTCGCCGCAACCACGAAGGGTTTCACGGAAGGCTGGAGGGCTTCTGAGAACCGCCGTTGCCTTCTGAGAAGGTCTGGCCCCCTATCTGACAGACTGTAGATTTATCCGCCACCGTGCCGCTGGGCACGGAGCGGGCGTGTCCTCGGGTCCATTGCCTCCCCCTCGGAACTTCAATCATCAACCCTTCACCCCTGAAGTCTGTTAAGGGACCTGGGCCCCAATTTCACACATCTGGGCTTGCCGCGGCTTCTCGAAAGACTCACTCGTCTCTCCGCGACTTTTTCGGGCACTAGAGGGCCCCAAAAGGCCCCGAAAACGGTCGAAGAGTCGCCGAACGATCGCCCCAAGACGCTCAAAATGGCCCCCAGACAGCCCAAGAGCCTCCGAGACGCCCAAAGAGGCCTCCAAGAGGGCCCCAAGAAGCCAACATCATTGATTTTCTTCAGGTGTTTGAAGTTTCTGTTAGTCTCACATTTTCGTCTTTTTTTTCCGACGCTCCCAAACGTCTTTAGAAGCCACCAAGATCGCCCCAAGACGGCCCAAAAGGCCTCCAAGAGGGCCTCAAAACGGCCCAAGAGGGCCCCAAAACGGGCCAAGAGGCGCCCAACACCGCCCAAGATGCCCCAAAGACGGCTCCAAGCGGGGGCCCCAATGGCGGACCCGAACAGACATGTCCAGCCTTCGGCTCCGAGGGGCCCCAATAAGGTCCCAAAGAAGCGACCAAGAGGTCCCAACAGGCCCCCAAGAGGCCACCAAGAGAACCCCAAGAGAACCCCAAGAGGTCCCCAAACTACACCCAAAAGGCCTCCGAGAGCGCCCCGAACAGCCCCCAAGAAACATTCCTGAAAACTCCGGCTGGCAGCTCAGGCACGGCGGCTGGTTGGGCAGAAGGCCGATCTATTATCAAATGATGTGTTAGATTCGGTCAGACTATACCGCACATTATTATAATTTGATATGTTCAATGTGTGCTTTGTACCGTGACTTATAAGATATAATCATCTGGTATTCGATAGATCGAGCATACTACTAAATCTAGGCGCCCGCCCAGACCCACCCAAGCAGACGGAGAGGCGGATGCCCTCGGAGACAACTTGTTTTGCAACGACCTGATGCAATATTCACCTCGGAAATTCTCCTCGGCCGCAGGCCGAACCAATTCACAAAAAAACACGC